TACTTGTGATAGAGTCGCATTTGCATGCTTTAATCGGCTCTGAGACAAACAATCAACCAACGAGTTGCCATTGCATGTGTCTATCTGTTTTCCATCCTACGAGTACCCAAGAGCATCTGCAGCAGGGCCTGTAGGACTTGTTCTCGGGCTTGCTGCAGCTCGGCACAGTGTTGCCTTTTGAGTTCCTGCGTTGCCGGGCGGAACCAGAAAAAGATAGAAACAATTCAAGCGCAGCGGTTCGTTCCAAAGGTATGCAGCTTCTAACTCCTTCGTTTAGACAAACAAAACAAACAAACGGTTGAAAGACTGGTCCAGTGGGTGTTCTTCAGGACAAACTGGATCCAGTTTTGGTCAGAAGAACCTGACACCCAAGGGAAAATTAGCTACCAAACTCCGGGCAGTTGGGACATGTTGGGTGGGGCTTCCAAGGAAATCAACATGCAGGTTGACTTGTAATGACACGAGCTGCACCAGAGAGTTTGGAAGATGCTGAGGCAGGTGCTTTTGGTCTCATGTGAGGACATGCATATGGGACCGAAACTCCTCAGTTTGCAGACAGCCACACTTGGGTTCCAACTGATCAAGGCTGTTAGCGCCCCGCCCAAAATGTTTTTTCAGCCAAAAACTTGTCGGCAAAGTTCCTTTCGTGAAAGAGTTTGTCCATCCACAAACTTCAACCCCTTGATGCATCTTGCCAAAAGCAGCAGCAACCTGTGTGAGCACCATGAGAATGGAATAATCCTCCAGCCGATGGGATTAGGATGTGTATAATTTGTCGATTCTTCCTCTTCCCAGGGTCTTTGGGCACCTTCCTCTTATCAACACGGATGTAAACAAAGCACACCTTCAGCTACACCAACCTCCACGGCTTATATTTTCTCTCGCGTTGGGTCTGGAGATCCTCAACAGTGACATGTCCAAAACAACAGAAAACAACATGACAAATCACAACCATTGACAAGCAACATCTGTCTGACAACTGACAGCATTCCTCTGCTGCCAGTCTGCTGCCTTTCAAGGGAAACGCATACAATGTTTCGTTCCAGAAAGTAGGGGCAGAGAACGGCAGGGAAACACGTGGGCCAGGCAGAGAAGCTCTTGGGAAAGCTCTGAATGAAGATCATGAACAAAGTATCAACCAACTCCTGTCTTTTCCTACGGAACTGGCACAAGAATTACATCCTCTTCCTGAGAAGGAATTCATCTGGAATAGAACAACACAAACCACGTTCGTCCTTTTCGCCACAACCGGCAGGTCACCAGGTCACCAGCCCCTTTTGTTGGTCGACCCGGGGATCGAGTGACCCTCTCCCCGGTCGCGGTGTCCGGTGGACCTTCACCGGGTCGGGCATCACTTGCATCACTTGAAGCTCCTAGCACCCGGCGTGAGCGGAGAATTGGGGACCGCCGCCAAGACTTACATCCGACTCCAACCCTGACACAAACTCTATAGGGCTCTTGGCCTACCTCCGTTTTTGGTTCCGTGGTTGGGGGGGGGATTGGAGGGTCTAACTGCTAGGGCCCTTGGGAAAATCAAGACCACCTTATACAGCACGCATTTCGCAAGCTTGGACAGGCTCGAAAAATGCACCCCACCTGGCTCAAGGCCTGTGAAAACTGGCCAAAATGCTGAAACGCACCTAAGCCCGAACCCAAGGCATCACCTGCAAAGAGATGGTTCACCAGATCAAAACCACGACACTGCCTGCATAAGACTCCACGTTCAGCTGGCAACAGTTCCAGTCGTTCGAATGGTTCTATGTTTTTTTCATCAA